CCAGCACTTTGGGAGGTGGAGGCGAGAGGATTGCCTGAGCCCATGGGTTTGAGACCAGCCCAGGCAACTTGGCGAGACTTCGTCTCTACAATAAATTAGCTGGGCTTGGTAGCGTGTGCCTGTGGTTCCAGCTAATTGGAAGGCTGAGGCAGAAGGATCACCTGAGCCCAGTGGGTCAAGGCTACAGTGGCTGTGAGTGTGCCATTGCACTCCAGCCTAGGTGACAGAGTTAGATTCCAACAAGAAAGAAAGAAGGAAAGAGGGGGCCAGGCTCCGTGGCTGAGCCTGTAATCCCAGCACTTTGGGAGGCTGAGGCGAGTGGATTGCCCGAGCCTGAGGGTTCAAGACCAGCCCAGGCAACTTGGCAAGACTTTGTCTCTACAACAAATAAAAAATTAGCTGGGCTTGGTAGCCCATGCCTGTAGTTCTGGCTACTTGGAAGATTGAGGCGGAAGGATCACCGGAGCCCAGCAGGTTGACGCTGGGGTGGCTGTGAGCACTCCAGCCTGGGCAATGGAGTGAGATTCCAACTCAAAAAAAAAAAGAAGGAAAGAAAGAAGGAGGAAGGAAGGAAAGAGTAGAACCAGACGCTTTAGATGACTAACATTCAGTTCTTTTACTTATTTAATTCTTTAAATGGTAAAGTACAACTTCCTGGTTTTTCTTAGTTTCCTAAGATTTTGGCACTACTTTGCATGCTGTATCTCTCCCCTAAAAGTACTAAAAACCAAGTTCCTAAAATATCACCGTCTGACCACATGAAAGGAAAAAAATGTTCCTAAAAGAGTTTGCTAACCACCTAACACTTGAACTTACCTTTAAATATATGAATCACTTTCTTGTAAGAGATGGGAAATATATATATATTACATATATTAGGGAAGACCCCCCCCAAAAAAAAAAAACCCAAGAATTATCTTTTGGAGTGTGTGTGTGTATGTGTGTGTGTGTGTGTGTGTATGTGGGTCAGCTCTGGGACAATAAGAAAACTTTTATTTTTATTTTTGTATTTTTTTGAGTCGGAGTCTCAATCTGTCACCCAGACTGGAGTGCAGTGTCACGCTCATGGCCATCTAAGCCTCCACCTCCGAGGCTCAGGCAAACCTTCCACCTCAGCCTTCCAAGTAGCTGGAACTACAGTTGCGAGCCACCATGCCCAGCTAGTTTTTGATTTCTTGTAGAAACAAGGTCTCACCAAGTTACCCGGGCTGGTCTCAAACCCCTGGACTCAGGCAGTCCTCTCACCTCTGCCTTCCATAGGGCTGGGATTATAGGTGTGAGCCACTGTGCCCAACCAAATCATCTCTAGGTTATTTAGGATACCTAATACAGTGTAAGTGCTATGTAAATAGTTGTACCTTTTTTTTGTTGTTTTTTTTTGAATTGGAGTCTCACTCTGTCGCCCAGACTGGAGTGTAGTGGCCGCTCCCAGACACCGCAGCCTCGACCTGTTGGGATCCAGCGATCCTTCCGCCTCAGCCTTTCAAGTAGCTGGAACTACAGGCACATGCTACCACGCCCGGCTAATTTTTGATTTATTGTAG